AATAGAAACTACTTCAACAAAATAAAATTAAAAAAAAAAAGATAGATCTGAACTACTCAAACAGTGCCTAAAACCCACTATGAAAAACAGTCTGAATTATGCATAAAACAACACACATAACAATGTCTACTACAGAATCATTTATGACATTTCTTTCTTTCTTTCCTTCCTTTCTTATAACCTGTCAAACTTCCCCTCCTTTAGGATATTACCTTTAAAATATTACCTTTTAAACCTGTTTTTTTCCATTTTTCTTAGTTTTTTCCTTTTCTTTCTTTTAAAACTCCTTTTTCCTAGCCTGTCCTATGGTATTACTATATTTTATTTTCCTGGGTTAGTAAAAGAGTAGAGAACTTTTTAAACATATTTTAAATTGTATGTTGATATATAATTGGTTCTTTGGATATTAATATTACTAGTTGTTGTTCTCTCCTTGCAGTATAGCGCCGCTTACTAAAGAGATCTCCGCAATAGTCATAGATTTTTTCATCAGAACTGATCTACTAACTTTAACACAAAAACAGGAGAAACATGAGAAAACAAGGCAGTAAGATACCTCCAAAAATTCATAGTTCCCCAAAATTCAAAGCCACAGGTATTCAAGTGTGTGAAATCCCACTAAGTTTTAAAAAACTAATAGAATGATCAATGAGCTCAAAAAAGAGAAAAAATAAGCAGCTGAATGAATTAAGGAGGACAATACAGGATATAAAACCATTTCAGTAAAGCAACTAAAGTTCTGAAAAGAACCAAATAGAAATCCTGGAAAATAAAACTTCAGTGAGACAAATAAAAATTTCAATTGAAAGTCTAGCAAGATGAATCAGAAGAAATGAGATGAGGACTTGAAGACAAGGTGGAATCACTGGAACATTCAATAAATAATAATGAAAAATGAATAACAAACAAGGTAAAGATTATGAAAGAGCTCCTAGATAACTCTGAAAGAGGTAACAATCATTGTACATTGAGGTTGTTATAGTACAGGTTAATGGTATAAAAAAAATCTATTCCCTAAAATTATTATAGAAAATTCCCTGATTCTGGAGAATGAAATGGATACCCAGGTAAAGGAGGCATTTAGAACCCCAAATAGAAATCATCAGAAAAAAAACTTCCCATAACACATCATAGCCAAAATGCCAAGAACCCAAAACAAAGACTATTAAAAGAAGTTAGAAGTATTAAAGCACTTATACAGCAAACTCATCAGAGTAACTGCAGATTTCTCAACACAAACTTTAAAGACCAGGAGGGCTTGGAATAAAATTTTCCAAGCCCTAAAAGAAAATAATTGACAATCTAGATTATTAGATTCTCCTATAAGGCTATCATTAAAAACTGAAGAAGAAATAAAGACCTAGAAACATTCATGACTACCAAGCCCAAAATGTAGAAAATAATACAGGGAATTCAAACCAGAGATGATGAGGACAACAACAACTTTGAGGGAAAGAATAAATCTCACTGAGAGAGTAGTTAAATGAATAAGAAATAAATGAATCATACACTGGAAAAACAATTAAGTAATGAGAATTAGTACATACCTTTCAATAATAACACAATGTAAATGGTCTAAACTTCCCAATAAAATACACTGACTGGCACATTGGATAAAAAAACAAGATCCATCTATATGATGTAAGAGACACATTTCATCTGTAAACATATACATATCCTGAAAATGAAAGGATGGAGAATGATATGCCAAGCAAGTGGAGCCCCCAAACTAACAGAAATAGCTATACTTATATTAGACAAAGTTGACCTCCAATCAAACCTGGTTAGAAGAGAAAAAGAAGGTCACTACATAATGGTAAAGGGAAAAAAAAAATCACCAAGAAGAGATGAAAATTATAAATATATATTCACTAAACATCAGCATACCCAATTTCATTAAACAAATACAACTTTACATAAAAGGACAGATGGACCCAAATATAATCAAAGTGGTAAACTTCAATACCCACTCTCACAAGTAGATGGGTCAACCAATTAACCAACCAAACAAACAAAAACATAAACATCAGAGTTAAGCCACACTATAGATGAAATAGATTTAACAGATATCTACAGAGGGTTCCAACAACAACAGCAAAACACACATTTTTTTCAGCAGTCCATAAAACATTCTCCAGAATACAGAAAGTCCCCAACTTATGAACATTTGAGTTGTGAACTTTCGCAGGTATGCTGTATAAGATTCACTTATTAGACTCGCTTATGAATGAATCCGCCTTTGAACAATTCTCCCAGAATTGAGCTGGTTCTTAAGGGACTAACTGTAGACCATAGTTTAGGCCATAAAGAAGTCTCAATAAATACAAAACAACTGAAATTATTCATGCATCCTATAAGATAACAATAGAGTGAAACTAAAAATCAATAGCAAAAAGAAACAGAAATTACATGGACAGATTTTATCAGACCTTTAGGGAAGAACTAACATCAAAAGTTTTCAAATGTTTCCATATAATAGAAAAGGAAGGAATACTTCCAAACTCATTCTATGAAGCCAACATAACCCTGATGGCAAAACCAGATAAGGAAGGAGGGAAGGGGAAGGGAGAGAGGGAGTTTTGCCAAAACTTTTTAATTTGATACGATCCCCTTTATTGATTCTTGGTACTCAGTCCTGTGCAGGAATTCTGTTCAGAAAATTCTTGCCTATGTCCAGGACTTCAAGAGTTTTACCTATTTTATCTCGCAGGCAGAAGCTTTTTAATTTGATGTAATCCCATTTGATTGTTTTGGGTTTTTTCTTTTGTGGTACTGGAGATCAAACCCAGGGATATTCTACCACACAGATTTATCTCCAATACTTTCTACTTATTTGCTTGAGACAGGGTTTTTCTATGTAGTTCAGTCTCACTTTCAGCTTACTATGTAGTTCAAACTGGCTTCAAACTTGTGGTAATCCTCTTGCGTCCATTTGATCGAGCTTTTCCCTTCCAGATGTTTTCCCCAAAAGAGTTAAAAGACATCATATTATAGTGATATATACATACCCACATTTATAGCAGCACAATTTATAATAGCTAAATCTTAGAAGCAGCCTATATATCCATCAATAAATGAATGGAGGGCCAGAGATTTAGCTCAGTGGTGCTGCTGCCTGCCTTGCAAGTGCAAGGTCTTGTGTTCAAACCCCAGTAACAACAACAAGAAAAAGACAAATGTTCATTTGGTGCCTATGGAATATTCAGGATTTGGGCCAGGGATTTAGCTCAGTGGTGCCACACCTGTCTCGCAAACACAAGGTTCTGAGTTCAATCCCCAACACCAAAAAGTTAAATACATAATTAAATGCGGTATTTACATACAATGGAGTACTACTCTGCCTTTAAAACGATGAGTCATTTGTAGGAAAATGGATGTATTTTGAGACCAGAAAGTTAAGTGAAATAAATCAGACACACAAGCTTCAATATCACATGGTTTATCTCATATGAAAAACTTAATATATAAAGTACAAAATAAAAGACAGACAGCAGGGAAAAAGAGATAAAAAAAGTTAATGTAATCCATCATAGACAATGTATTTGAAAATGTACCTTGATTTAGTATAATTGTTTTATGGTGTTTTATGTTTCTTTGGTGTTAATCTGTGTTTATGACAGTTCAACTGACAAGGACTTACAAAAATAAATAATCTGATGCTGGCAAAAAATGAAAGTAAAAATATTTTTAAAAGGGGTTGCAGGGAAAAAGTAAAAAAGAAAGAACTGAGATGTTATGTACATGTAGCAATTCCCCACAATGAATGTAATCATTATGTACTACAAACACGTACTAGTTAAAATTTAAAAAGAATAAACTTTCATGCACTTATATTTATTAACTATATATTTTTTTGAAGTGGTCATTTTGAGAAAGTTAGGTCAAATGAACTCCAGAGAAATTTATGAAATTACTTCTACTTCAGACAATTTCACTTTGTGTTTGCTAAACTTCCTAAAAATAGCATTAATATTTGGTACCATATGGCTTCAATAATATAACCATTCCAGTTTGTCTTTCTAGAAAGCAATATCTATTTCCATTGGATGACATGTTGTCTAAAAACAGAACTTAACATATCATTTTTAGGCCAAATACAGAATTTTCTATCACTCTCATTTTTCAGCTTATACTCGAATTATGGAGCAAAACAATACTCAAAGAATGAAACTGAAAATAGCCAAAAAAGAGAAGAAGGAGAAATGTAGGCAAGAGGGAAAATAAAACAAGAAGACAGTGTTCTCAGGGAGCCAATACCCACTGACTAAAGACATAACTACAGAAACCAAGAAGTGATGATCACTTGCTATGGACACTCTGAAGACATACCTCCTCTAGAAGAAAACGTAATTTTAAAAATCTTTTGTTAATTTCAAACATAAAGATTTCTCAAATGAATAAAACATTAAATATTGTCCAAAAATCAATAAGCAGTTCTTAAAACAAGACTGTTCAAATTTTCTTTCAAAAGAAAAGGTTTTCTTCCATTCGTGGTGAAAATTAATATCACATGCAAAAAAGCCAGTATTATATTGCTGAAAATAATTTCTGATCTAACAGTGAATATTTATCTTCCTGAAGTTCAAACCAAATTATGTCTTAATTTATGCTTTTTATCCTTAAGTGACTACCAAAAAATTACTAACTTATTATGTATTACTCTTGTCATATATTGCCTCTTACTAAAAAGCATTTTTCAGGAAAGATAAAAACCACAACAGCCAGATCTTAAAACAACGCACCCCTTTGGCAAGAATCATGATGCAGTTGTTTCCCATTTCCCTTGCCTCAAATTATCAACCTTTACTGCCAGAAATACAAATAAGCCATCAAAGACAACTCAGTGCTTCTGTTATATAAAACCTGTGTAAATTCTTGGCTTTTTTCCTTGGCATTTCTCTATAATAAAGTGACAAAAATGTTCCAATTTTTTTTTAAAGTCTTTTCTTATGAAACAGACTCACAGTTAGTGATTGCTGGACTTAGTTCTTTGCACTTACCAGGGAGGGAAAATGTGGATGATGTCCTGGGGATGCCCCTGAAGGTAGCCTGCAGTCTCCCGAGTAAAGAGAACCTTCAGATTGGTTCCTGGCCCAGGGGCCACATCTTGGGAAGGAGTGGGGGATGGTGGGCCTGATAACTGCTCACACATGGCAACTTGCATAGTGCATTCCTCATGTAGCTCTAGAATTTTCACAATTAATATACCAGATTTTCTACCTAGAAGTTGAAGAAAAGAACAAAATTTAAAATGAAGTCCAAAATGACATGGTTCACATGTGAATAAAGTATTATGAATAAAAAGATTCACATTCAGATAGCTATCTTCACCTAGAAAAAAATGATCTACAAACTTTGCAAAGTAAAATATAGACTATCTGGTTACACTGCCTGTCTGATAAGCACAAGGACCTGAGTTTGATCCCCGGTACGAAAAAACAAAACAAAAATACAGACTATCATGCTCCCTATAACATCTTTCTTTAATCAAAAACTGCCTGCATGTTGCATTTAATATACGCATGTTAAACACATAAAATAGTCTTCTATCATGAAGAAATAGTCTTGTGCTTGTGGAAACCCAGGACCCATCATTTATTTCATGAAGCATATTTCCACTCCCAAACTTGAACCCTTTTAGTGACCACTACTAAAGGTGTATGGCTACTGTTGGTCTTCCTTCTTACATGCTCTCTTCTCATCACCTACTCTGATTCTCTGCTTTGGGGAAACACACACACACACACACACACACACACACACACACACACACACACGCACACACACCAGCTGGCTGCAACTCTTCTAATGATCATAAAGATTAAAAGTTGAGGATCGGGCTGGGGATTTAGCTCAGTGGTTCTCCATGAACTACTGGGTATTGAGGCCCTGGATTTAAATGGGTGGAATTCAATATAGATTCAGGCAGGCATGTTGCCACTGAGCTAAATCCCCAGCCCAATATGGATTCAAATACTGTCCCGCTTACAAGGTTGGACAAATTACCTAGCATTTCAGTCTCTCAGTTTTCTCATGTGTGAAATGGGGAGCATGCAAACTTCCTCAGTGAACATTTGTGAGATTTAAGAGAAACATAAAGGTGAGAGTGTATATAGTATATAGCCCAGAAACCCAGGCATGACCCAGAAACCACATGTACCAAAAGACCTAACCAAGCATACATCTTAGTATTGTTAAGACCCAAATTAAGTGAGGAAGATGGTGTGTTCACACCACAGTATAATTTAGAGCACTTCCAGTGACTGAACCAGACCTGAGAGTATCAGATGAAGAAATCTCAAAAACAAGAGGTAAACAAGATACATACATATAATGCAATTAAAAAACAAAAAGTCAGGCATGGTAGTGCACCCCGTTTGCCCACCACTCTGAGAGGCTACGGTAGGAGGATCACAAGTTTGAGTCCGGCCTGGACAACTGTCAACTTAGCTACTTAGTGAGACCTTCTCTCAGTATAAAAAATAAATAAATAAATAAAAGGGACCAGGGATGTAGTTCATAGTGAAGACACTGGGTTCAATCCCCAGTACCAGGAAAAAATGACAACAACAACAACAACAAAAAACCCCACAGAAACCAATATTGTTTATGGATACATATGTCACATCAGTATAAATATGGAATAGAAGAACACAAGAGAAATCAGAATAGCTGGTATCTATGGAGAAAAAGAAGACTGACTCAGAAAGGAAGCCAGGGGAGTTCAAATCTGTCATACTGTTTTTATTATAAAAATATATGAAGCAAAAAGGCAAAAGATAAACAAACCTAGAATTCATCTATGACCAGAACTTCACACAGCTTATGAAAGAAGAGACAGGATTTGAACTGAAATAGGCTGGATATAACTCTGGGTGTGCCTACTGCTTACTCTGTTTTATTTTCCTGGACTCCCAGATGAACCTGGGGTATCACAAAGTGATATTTGTTCAAAGCGTCTTGAGATGTTGTGGCGGAGTTCATGAGGAGGACTCCTACGGACTACCCGAAGTAATACGGATATGCAACGAAGCTAACAGGCTTTCCAAGTATCTTCAGATCAGTGATCAAGAGGAATGTGGAGAAATATGAGCCGTGGATGTTACACCAGTACAGACCCATCTCTGGGCGGGATTGATGTCTGTGAAAGAGTAAATATGTTTCTCTCCTAATTCAAGCAAAATACTCTGGATGTCTCCAGGAAGAGTAATAGTTCCAAAGGACGGAAGAGAAACCACAAGGAGGAGGAGATACATGCAATTATGTTTTTCTATTTCTTTGTGCTTTTTAATTTAAAAAGTTAATTTAGTGAAAGTAAAAAGGTACCTAGTACCTTCCTGATAATAGACACTAAGATGAGTTTCTCTACCACTTTACCCAAATGGCTGAGAGTGAATAATAAAAACTAATATTTACATGGTGCTAATTTTTTAAAGTTTTTGTTTCCCTTTCTTTCTCCCTCTCACTTTTCCTTCATTCACTTCTCGCTTAACCCCAATTGTTCCTTCCTTTTCTTTATCAAATTGCCAATAGCATGTGTCCCCGTGTTATTTTCCAGTGCACTGACCTGGAAAACCATTTCTCAGTATGTCCTTGTCTTGTTATTCTCAAAGCAAGGAAGAAAATAGGATTGGGGAAGCATGTGAGTAAGCCCCATGTTAAGCTGCCACTAGCCAGTAGGTGCAAGGATATGGAGGTATGAAAATACGTATCTAAGGAAGGGGGCTGACTGGAAAGAGAACACACAGTTGACCTGCCACACAGATGAATATGAATAGGAAAGTAGGATAATAAAGAGGTCATTCTGATCCATACACTTTTTCCTGACCAGGACACACAGGGAAATGAATGAAGAATTAAAATCTTCAAAAACAAAGGGAAAAGTCCTAGATGTAAGGGCTGTGATGTCATAGAAATACTTTTGGACATATTTTCAGAATTATTAAAACTTGTGCCTGAACTCAGGGCCTGTGCCCATCACAATTCTAGGGTGTATCCTGCCCTGTTTCCTGCTGAAACGAAACCAGTCACTGTCCAGGGCGCCACAACCACCTGTGCACTTGAGTATGTGCTGCCCTACTCAAGTTTAGGTAGCCCAGCTAAGCACAGACTCTTGGTCCTGTGTGGGGCAATACTTGTAGTATTTGACTATAACAGCTACTCCCAAGCAGCACAAGTCTTCCTTTCAGGTATTCATTAATATCTTAGACCCACTTTAGAAAGCAACGTAGTTTTCTAGTGGATTATGTGGAAACCTTGAGGGAAAGGCAGGCTATTATAGAAACACATAAATTGTTATGGTAGAAATACCTACATATATGAGATGAATCAAACTGTCACTGACTACAGTAACTTTGAAGATTGTTACAATAAATCCTAACAATACTTCAAAAACTAAGAACTCTGCTCAAGAACTATTGCAAATAACTTATAAATAAAAAGTTATTTTATGATGCATCACTGTATACCATCGCTTGCTTAGGAAGTGGTGATTGGGATCATTGAGGCCACAATATTGGGTAGAGGACAGTACTGCCCACCTGTCTACCAGGCAGGGCACTCTCCAGAGGTCCATGAAGAAACCAGCACCCACCTTCCCAGCAGAAAATGAAGTTATGTAAGTTCTCTCTCATCTAAGAGAGAGAAAAATCATGGGTCAACCAGCAGCAAACCATGTGCTTGAGGAATTTTAATCCAAGAACAATATACTCATTTACAATGAAGATCATTTTATAGTTAGATGAATGGTACATAAAAGGTCATTTCTGTGCCATTAGGGCAATATTTTCCATAAATACTATATAAGACTCAGCCAAAATATCACCTCATCCAGGAAGTGTTTCTTGAATCCAAGCCAGAAGCAATTATTTCTTCCCCTTGAAATCCTTAAATACCAGTGGCCAGGAATGTAGTTCAGTGGCACAGGGCCTGCCTGGCAAGCACAAGGCCCTGAGTTCAATTCCCAGTACAAGAAAGAAACAAAGAAAGAAAGAAAGAAAGAAAGAAAATCAAATATTTTATCTATATTTATCACTCTATTTTGAGTGACTTCACTTTCAAAAGAACATAGTGTTAACTGTCCCTAAAAGTAGTGTAATCCATGAGGTAACAAAGGAACCCACATGGCATGTGTGCAAAAGTGGCTCTTAAGAGTTATTCTTACCAGTTTTTCAAGGCATTTTCAAATCGAGTCTCTTACTGATTCACAAAAAAATCTATGAAATAGGTAAGAAAGGTATTAGTCTCCTTCTCTGACAGATAAGAAAACCAAAAAGGAAAGAAAAGATTACTAGCTGGTCTGATCCTAGAAATCAAGTATGCTTTCAAGGCAAGTGTGTTCAATAAATACTTAAAATAGGTGGGTGTGGTGGCGCTACTCTGGATATTGAGATAGAAGGACTCCAAATTCAAAGCCAGCTTGCATCTTAGCAAGGCACTTTCTAAAATAAAAATTTTAAAAAGGACTAGGGGTATAACTCAGTGGTACAGCACCTCTGGATTAGAGCCCCAACACTGTAAACAATCAAAACAAAGCAAAACAAAAAACAAATATACTACAAAGAAAAATATACTACACATTCTAGTAATTTCTATCCATACAGATGCCTAGCAGATGAAAGAGTTCTTAGGTTAAAATATCCATACTAGGCATGGTGGCACATGCTTATAATCCCAGCACTTGGGAGGCTGAGGAAGGAGGATTGCCATGAGTTGAAGGCCAGCCTGTCTCAAAATAAAATAAAATAAAATAAAATAAAATAAAATAAAATAAAATAAAATAAAATAAAATAAAATTCCCATTTAATTTACACGATAACATTTGCTTAATCAATACACAGATAAGTGATTTATTTTTCAGTCAACTGTTCTTAAAGTCTCTAAGTTTTACTTTGCTTGTTTTTATGGCACTGGGGAATGAAACCAGGGGTGCTCTATTACTGAGCTACATTTCAAGTCTTTTTTATTTTTTATTTTCAGACAGCGTCTCCGTAAATTGTCCAGGCTGTCCCTGAACTTACAATCTTTCTGCTTCACACTCCCAAGTGTCCAGGAGTATAGGAATGTACCACTCAAGCTGGCTGAGTCTTTTGATTTAAATAAAAAGAGAGCACCAAAAAATGAATGAGTGATCTAAGAATAAAATTTGTGATTACTGAGATCAATGACTTTGTTGAAATATATAGGTAGCCAGGGTCCATTTATATGCATATCAACTCAAA